TTCAAAAATAGGAAATTAGAAGACCATTTTTCATGTCTTGGAAAAATACATCATTTAATATTATAATTAAAAAAGATAATGCCAAAAAAAATTAAATCAAATATTGGAAAAATGTAAAAATAAGATTTTTTTCCAATATTAATTTAATAAAGAATATAAATGCAACCTTTCACTTTGGCCACTCTTGGCTGTTCTAATGGTAAGTCTTCTTCATAATATTCATCGATATATTGACTAAAATATTCATTTAATTCAGCAACTTTCTTTCGCACTGCATCAATTTCACCTTTTTTTGACTGTTCGCAAGCTTTTGCACTGGCTTTCTGTATCATTCGATCTTGAAATTTTGGTGAATCTTCCGGAACTGTAGAACTAACTGATGAATGGTCAGAAGAAAAATATCGGAAATTACAAGCCAAATAGTTAAAAGGGAATGGACGATTATAGAATGATCTCCAATTGTTCATTAGTAGCATCTTAGATGGAAAAAAATTCTTAAGAAATGATCGACGAATGAATGAAGTTTGAGACAACATCCTATGAATTAACAGCCAATTCCGCGATGGGATTTGCATGGATGATAACTTTCCGAATTCGTTGTTCAACAACTGGCCGATATTTAGCGTCAACCTTGACATTTTCAAGTTCATCCAAAACGTCAAACCCATCAATAACTCTAAAAACTTCAAAATTTCAAAATTTAAATTTTCCGTATTCTTGCAAAAGTGCTTCAAAAAATATTTAATAAATTCGTGAAAAATCGGGACATTTCATAATTTAAGAAAAATATAAATATTATATTAAGAATTCTAATAGGTTATAACTATCGCCCTATGAAGAACTTATATCAGACAGATTTTACCAGATAGAAACTTTACCAGATATTCATGCTGTGATGCTGTGATGCAGATGAATCGCCAGCATCACCTGGATTTTAAATGCTAAGTTTATTTCTACAAGCAGTAGAACACGATTATCAGCGCTCAGAAATGAGAGCGACAACCCACTGAGAAATCTACCAAAAGATATCTAAAAAGGATTTAACGAAAATTTACGACAGAATATGACCCGACAATTTTTGAATACCTTTAAGCGAAGACTAAAAAATTTGAACTGAAGAGCGTATGAAGCACTAATGATTTGATGAAATCCCAGATTTGTGGTGTACGGATATAAAAATATTACAATAAATAAATAAAATGAAATTAACCGCCCAAAAATAGTGTATTTTAAATCCAACGATGGATCCTTTGCCAGTTCCGCTTAAATCACCGCTTTGCACCATAAAACTTTTGATATTTCGATGGAAAATATTGTTATTGTAATATCCACTAGCACAAAGAGCCAAAAAGTTCTGCAAAATTCGAAAAATTCAACTGCAACATCTGATATTAACAAAATTGCTAAAATTTATTTTAATTTATCGTCAAGAATTCACTTAAAGTCATACAAATTTAAAAGAAGAAACAGCGATTATTTTCATATATAATTCATTTAAATAATTTAATTAATTATTTTAATTAAATTAAATAAATTAAATAAATCAAATTAAATTAAATTAAATAAGATTATTCGTGATTATTATTACAATTTTCCTTGATAAAGAATATCTTCGATAAAAAAATTGATTAAATCGGAATAAAATTTTTCAATAAATCAAAAATTATTTGATAGCTTTTAAATTAACAAATTCAAAAAATCACTGTCATCTAATAAAACGTCTAACCGTTAAGCAAACAGCTTTTTTTTTCACCCCAATGAGGCAAAATCATGCATGCTTTCCGTTATATGAGTTGTTGTTATTAAACGTTTGCTTATCCAAGTTTGCAGTGCACATATTTACTCGTATTTAAAAGTGGCAAGACGAGTTATGTAGACCAACTAAATATTGGCCCTTCTTTAAGCTTTTAATTTTTAAATTAAAATAAGTAAATGAATAGCATGAACAGTGCAGCAAAATCCCAGAAAAAATAGTGCAACAAAGTCATTCATGAGAGAAACAAAATCATGAATTTCCATCACACACATATTCACACAGTTCTCGAATAAAATTTGACAAATAAAATTTTTTAAAATTTATCAAAAAGACAATTCAAATGGTACTTATGAAAGTGACTAAAAAAGAACAATCGGCCTAATCTGTACTTTATGAATTCATTTCAGGAAATCCAGTAAAATAGCATTTATTCACTTGGCTCCACGATCTTATTAAATTAATATTTTTATGTTATAGATCTTTGGCTCTAATAATACTAACATTCAAATTAAATATTCAATCGGTGTGCAGTGAACTCCGCTCCAAATCGCTCCAATTCTTCAACTGCAGAAAACATAAAATCTTGATGTTTGCAGATACCATCATCACTTTCTCAATTTTTTTTAAAAAATTTATTTTCGAAACAATAAAAATTAAAAATGAACAAATGAATAAAAATGAATAAAATGAAATAAAAAAGATGATAGATTTAGATCAATTTCTTCCAAAAAGCGAATAAGCATAAGAAAAAATAAATTCCTCAAACAAATGGGTGAAAGATTTCCGTAGCGAAAAAAATATGAAAGATATTCTCAGTGGTAAATTGTGAGAGCCCATAAAATTGAATTTATTGAATAATAATTGAATTGAATAATTTTACATAATTTAAATTCAAATTAGGCCAAAAATATGAAGGACAACAATTAATCTACAAATATTATTTATAAAGCTAGCGGCAGAAATCGAAAAAATTCACTTCTATTATTCTCCATGCTCCAAGTGGATGAATCGACCGTGCTATTCTGCAAAATTTGTAGAATAACATTATATTATAGAAGCTGGCTAGATAAAAATAAAATAAAATTCAAAAAAAATAAAAAATTATAAAAAGATTAAATTGATAAATTCAGAATTTAAAAAAATATGACAAAGAAAACTTAATAAAGAAAAACTACTTCTCGAATTGTAATATATAAGAATAGAGAAATATTTTTTTAGCTAATGATATAGCAATAAATTTTATCTATTTAAAAAAAATTTAATAACTTACGTTATATTACAAACCAACATACTTTGTGTGGGTAACACTGCCAATAATGTTTTTAATTTTTCCTCCATATTAATGTTCGCATCTTTACGAATATAGATAACGACTTTGTTTTGAAAAGTAACAATGGTTGGTTCCGCTAAAATTTTATCAATGCAAACTTTATCAATATTCGAGAATTTCACAATAATTTTTTCTGATCCGATAAGTCAGCAAAATAAAGCTAATGAATGATGAGTATAGTACAAAAAAAATTCAAATTCAAAAAAATTCTACATATTATTTTCAATAAATCAATTGGAAAAAATTTCCAAGATTCCTGGATACTATCAATAAAACAATGGGAATTAATGAAAGATTTTAATAAAAGTAAAATAACAATTAATAATAAGAGCGAGAAATAAATTTCAAACTATTTTACACCAATTTTTTAAAATCCACCCCGATATTATGAAAACTTTATAACTTTATTATAACTTTACGAAATATATTGTCTAAATTCATAATGTATCCCTATAAAAACGGCATTTAAAAAGAATAAATATTAAAGTGAGTTCCATTTTCCATTAAACCTTGGTAAATATTAAACCTTGGTTCAATAAAAAAATAAAGAAAGGAAACGAAATTCTGTCACAAACCGCGTATAAAATTCCTTGAAATAATCGAAGAAGAAAAAATAAATGAAGAAACGACATCATCAAGGGAAAATCGCATTAATTCACGTTCTTCATCGGTAAAGGAATTAAAATTTCTCCGAACTTTTTCAATCGCATCATCCGTCATTACCGATTTCAGTGAGTTCCATTTTCCATCACTAATATATGTTCCACAAATATTTGCCGCCTTAAATGCAAAAAATCCATGAAATCCATTTATCTTTGAAGGAGATTAAACGCAAAGTTTGTCAAGTCCAAAATAAAATTATACAAATTACCTATAAAAATGAACCTGAATAGCACCATTGAGAAAACCTTCAACAGTAAATTGTTTTTCGATAAACAAACGATAGATAGATCGCGAAATAAAACTGCAACATCGCCGATATATTTCAAATGATGGAACAATAATTCGACGTGCATTGGTTAGTGCAAATATTCTTCGTTTAATCTCTGTATGCCTATTATTAATATTTTCTGCAAAATTCTGCAAAAAAAAATTAGTAAAGCGAAAGTTTAAATTTATAGAAAAATAAAAGGAAAAAAGAAACAGGTTAGAAGAAATTAAATGTTTTTAAAACAAAAATATTTAATAGTTTACCGTTACAGATGAACATCTACAAATATTGGTTCCAGCAAATGCTATACATTGCACATTCTTTAACCATATTTTGTTTACTAAAACCATCCTTTACCTAAAAATCCGAGCAAATTATCGAAGAAAAAGAAATAACCATAAAAATGAAAATGGGAAGGCTTCAGAATATTAAAGAGAATATAGAATATTAAAGTTGATAAAGAATATTAAAGCTGATCATTAGAATTCGAAAGAATGAGGTAGAATGAAATAGCGAGTAATGTGGTGCCAATTCTCAAGAGTTCGACCGCTAATCCTTAATCTGTCGAGAGAGCAGGGAGTACCATCAAAAGTGAACCGACCGAATTCCCACCTTGCTTTTTTTAATTTAAAGAGCAATCAAACACTGAATGGATTTATGGAACCGACTTATAATTTAGGCGATGCTAAATGAAATTTCTTTTAATGAATTTCAATAAATTTCTTTTTAAAATTAGAAATAGATTAAGCAAAAATAGCAGAAAACAATATAAAATTCAATAATTTTCCATTTTTTCTAAGCATATTTAAGGAAAAAGATTTGCCAAAAGATATTTGCCAAATAGGTTTGTAGCTGACTTCAATCCATTATCACTGGTGGTACTAGCAAATTAAAGTTACTAAAACTAAGGTCAGATTATTGTAACGAAATAAAATGCTGGAAGTTGGGGATAATATGGAACCAACCAAAAGATACCTTGTCGAGAGCGGTTTCGCTGGAATCTCACCAGCTCACCGATCGATTTCGAAATTTCACCGAGATAAGCGTAAAATATTTCGCGCAAAATATTTATTGCAGCCGAAAGAAGGCTTAGTTTATTTTTGTTTCTCTATTTTAAATGGAATGGAACTTTGTTTTCAACGAACAAAACTAAATTTATTGATTTGCAAAAGCAAATCTTTCATTTTAGGCTTTTTATCAATTTGACCATTTCTCAGTCCAATCGCTATTTGCCATTCAATAAAATTGGAATTTTCGGAATAAGGAGAGCTACGGTTCGGAGCGACTGGGGAGATCCGAGACAAGGAACGTTGAAAACCATTGTCTTCGAATATTTAACTTGAAAAATGGGAGAGAAACGAATGCTATTGAGGCAACTAGGAAAGACGAAAATAGGCTTTAATACGCATTCTTCTTTTGTACTAAATTTCTGCCTCTATTGTAAAACAAGCAAAACCATTGTCTTCGAATATTTAACTTGAAAACACCTCTGGCCCAACTCGGTTAAAAACTTAAAGATCTTAGTAACCTAATCAAAGTAAAGTACCGCAGCTGCTTGTTAGAAATCTTCAGTAATCAATCCGATTGATTAAAATACGGCTGCGGTCCAGCTAGTCGCGGCTTAATTATTCAACCTTTGTTTCGATTTATTTGAAGCGACACGGTTCATCGATGATTAGGGTATATTTAGGAGTTTGAAATGTTAAAGCATCAAATGTAATTTCTCGAAAAACTGAACATTGATGTGCAAGTTTTGGGTCCGAAAATCCGCTTGGTCCGTTTTACGGTGCACCACTAAAAGTCTAAGGTAGCTGTCATATAAAACGATCGAACCAGAATGTCTGTAAATAATAAACGATAACTCGATAAACTTGCAACGATAAGGTGCACTGAAAATCAGTTCTTCTTTCCACAACTCCCAGTGTTAGGTTGGCTTCGCTGGCTACAAAGGTAAGACATTTCCAAGCTGCACGATTTGATGCCATCGCTTGTAGCAATGAAAACTATTCCTTTTTCCACCTTCTAAGTCCATATATTGCTGGTCGTTCTGTACATTACTGTAGAGGAAAAGGTGGAGTGAGGGAATGATAATCTTACTTCAAAGACTTTTCCATATACCTGTAAGCTGATAAAATGCCTTTATGAATCGAATGATCTTCTTTGGAACACCGTCGAGTTCCATCATCCTTCAGAGCTCCATTCTATCAATTGAATCGAAGGCAGCTGCAAAATCGATGATGATGGGTTGCAAATATTTGAAACGACGCTCCAATATCCTTCTTAGCTTGAATATCTGGTCAGCCGCATCCATTCTTTAGGTTCTATTCAATAATAATTGTCGCGAATGGATCTCAGAATGGCTGTTGTTCAGATCGTCGTTTCGAATCTCCGACAGGAGTAAATTTTTTCTCTCCCTCATTTTTTCTGAATCACTTGCTAAGCGACTATCTGGTAAAAATTTTTCATCACATTAATAATAGCGAATAGAATGGCTTAGTGGGTTATTGCTCGATTGGGAGCGCCGATGCTGGGTTAGATTCCCTGTAGGAGTAAATCTCTACAAAAGTCCGGGTGATACTGGCGACTTACCTGTATTTCTATCGCCAAGGGGCTCCCTGGCATGTTGCCCAATTGCGACAAGCCAGTGGAGCGAGTTTAATCAAAATTTGATTGGAACCATAAATCTCTTCAGCAGAAAAAGAGAAACTTTCATCTAATCATTTGCAGATAAGGTTTTATACTTGGATGATAATGGCTATTCTTAAGATGATAGTGATAGTGATTTGATGTGAATTTTATTTTTGCATTCAATGAGATTTATGGAGCTATTTTTCTATGAGTTCCAATTTTAGCTCTCTCGTCATGGTGGATGGCGTCAAAGGTGAGGTGATCTGACCAAATCCTGGATCGAGTCCAGAGAAAATTTTGACTAAATTGGCGACTTAGATAGTAAAAACCTGAGAGATTGAATCGTTCTAGCCGAAATTTGCCGAGTTTTCGGAAAGGGGCAATCTTTTGTGGTTTTTTTTTTTGTTGTCAGCTGATAAAGAATGTTTTTTATTTTTATTATTACAAAGTGGTTGATAAAAATAAGGATAATATTGTTTGATTCGATAATATTTACCAGCTCTTGGCTGACTCACTCTACCGGCTGGTTTCCGAGCCTTTCGATCCGATGCCAAAATTAATTGATGCCGTTCATTTTTTCACCACTTAAGGCCATAAATTTCTAGGCCCTCAACATATGCTTTCAAAATCTTCTCTGAACTTATCGATCTAAGATTTGGCTAAGCTGCCTCGCTTTTGACGCCATCAGCCATAAGGCTTGGCTCATTGCGGAATGTGCTTTAATTTTTCAAAACCGTGCTATACAATACTATAATTCTTTCATAAATTTATTGTAGGGTTATTATCATTTTGTTGGTGTGAAACGAATGGCCAAAAAAAGCGAGAAAACACGAAGGATCAATTAAGTAAGAATTTAATTCAGTTGAGATCAATCTTTGCATCACTGCATTATCCATAGATTTCATCCGTATAATTTTTCAATATTTGGGCGATTTAAATTTAATAAGATTTGTTTTTTACCTTTATTTGTTAAAATATAAATGCAATATATTTATTAAATATAAATATAATATAATATATATTTAACAAATATAAATGCAATATATTTTAAATGTAAATATAATATAATATATATTTAATAAATATAAGTACAATATATTTATTAAATATAAATACAATATAATATATATTTATAAATATAAATTGAATATACTCATTAAATATGAATGCAATATAATTTATAATATTAAATGTATAATATTGTATATTTTGTTATATTAATAAATATATTACAATTTTAATTTGAATTTGTGTAGTCCTGTAACTTAATAATTAATTATTGGAATAAATTGCCAAATAATATGTTAGTAATATATTAATAATATAATAATAATATAGTTTTTGCTTTCTCTGAAAGTATATCGGTTCCAATTTTATTATTTTATATTAATGTGTATCGTCTGGTACATTGGTGGCTTAGTGGCAAAATAAATGCCATTTAGGGTCGGGGCTTGCATTTGAATCCGTACTACTCTTCGACGGGTGGGGATATCTCCTAATGGAGAAAAGCAAAAGGAGAATAAAGATCAGTGGGTCGATTTGAAACGATTTACTATCGGCAGAAGTAAAGCTATCCTTCAAGAATCGAGTGGTACTGGCGATTCACCTATCGCTAGCGTTTCTATCGCCAGGAGGATATTTTTTTCGCTCCCAGACATATTTAATTAGTCTAGCAAACTTAGCGAGTCTAACCATTAATGATGAGTGATTCTAAAAGAAAATATATATATTGTCTAAAATTTACAATTTTAAATATTTTAAATTTTTAGATAAATTGTTTTCCAACAATTTTATTTTGAAAAATTTCGAAGAAAAAAAAAGGTATGAATTTTAGATTTTTTTCAATCTTTATTTTAAATATTCAGCAGTTTTAATAATATTTTCTTCAATATTTTAATCACATTAATTTTGAATTTTGAAAGAATTTATTTTATTTGTCGCAAGGAATTTATTTATTATAATTTATTTGATCAACTTTATATAATTGGAATAATTTCGAAAAAAGTTCCCAGAGATTATTTTTTACATTTAAACATTGCTAATATTATTTTTCAGCATTACTGATATTTTTAACGCAAAATTTCAAATTGGGAGTGAATATTTTGTCATTTATCCTAATAAATCAGATTGTCTTGCTTGGTGCATTTTTTTACTTATCAACAATATTTGCTGAATAAATAAAAATGTTTATGAACCGAATTAACTTGGCTAATCTGAATAGCTTATCTGCTGCGTCTTATGATTATCAAAATTTGAAAGCAATTTTAATATTTATTCTTTTTGTGAGTACGATTTGCTCAAGTTTGGTAAGTTGTATTTATTTATTTTGCTTATTTTACTATAAGTTTGAATTCGAAATTTTCATTCTTTCCTAGTTTTGATTTCTGATTTGATTTCTGGTTTTGATTTAAAAAATTGAAGCCGACAAATGATTTGGGTTTCTTGCTTTTTGATTCTCAATTATTTGATAATCGAAATAATTTTTGGAATTATTTTCATAGTTTTCTTTTTCTTAATATTTTTCAAAAATGTATTAATTATAAAACATTTAGTCGGCATTCGTATTACGACGAATTGCAATTCATCAAGGGGGTATATCTGCTCGAATATTCTCTCTTTTATCAGTTTTTGGTGGTGGAATTTTTCTCGCGACGTGCCTACTTGATTTATTAGCTGATTCAATTGCTACTCTTTCAAAAGGATTAGCTGTTAGAACCGATTTTAAATTTCCGATTGTTGAATTATTTATCGCAATCGGATTTTTATTTGTACTCTTTACTGAACAGGTTTTTTTTTAAAGAATTTATTTTGTTTGTGGCAAGGAATTTATTATAATTTATTTGATCAACTTTATATATTTGGAATAATTTCGAAAAAAATTTTAATTCAAATAAAAATTTTTCTAAAATTTTGATCTGATGAATTAAACCACAACTTTTTTTATTTTTTTGTTTCTTATTGTTTTGGTTAAGAGCTACAAAGGTTATTGTCCAGTTGTTGATTATTATTCTTTCGTGCTGCTCTTAAAAGTAAATCGATTTTTATCCTCAAGTGGTATCTCCAGTGGGTCTTATCGTAATATTCATTTCACAAATAATGGGTCCTATTATTGAGGATTATTTCACCATAATTTTTTGACCTTTAAGGAAACCAGTTAATGGTTAAAAAGTGGTCAAAGTTCTCCAGACAAAAAAAGAATCAAAATTTCCAGCATCATTATATTCACATATTTTTAGTTGTTGATATCGGAGCTCTGTAGTTCTAAAGTATAGTTTTAGGCTGCAATTATTGCTCACGAGAATCGATGGATGGGATGTAATGATTCTAGCTTATTTCCTGATAGAAACATTTTGCCTAACCCGCTCACTAGTTCTTCCTCCGTTGTTTCTTCAAGTGATTCTTCCAGTGCACATTCTTTAAATGGTAAAATTTACTTTTTATTTTTTGAGTTATAAGAATTAACGGAAAACTGCTAAGTGATGTTTTGTTATAACTAATTCCAATCCATCATAGATTCGATTCTTGTTCTTTACAGGCAGGGAAACCTGTAATTAAACGGCTAGCACATTTTCTTTTCTCATGTTTTGACCAAGGAATTTCGTGGCAATAAAGCCAGGTAAATCAGGAATCAGTGTCAATTTTCAGTGTCAGTGTCAGGAATCAATTTTACTCTTAATCATTAAGAGTAAAATTTCTCGTAATGAACATATTCTAGGCTTTCACTGCAAATTTTTCAGGTCATACTAGTTTCCATTCGGGTACGATGGCTCATTCAACGATTGGCGCTATAATTCTTGTATTAGCACTCTCACTTCATGCCATTTTCGAAGGGCTTTCATTAGGAATTATAAGTGATATTAAAGAAATTTATCAGGTTATTCCTTTAATTTTGCATTTACATTAGTTTTCACAAATTTACAAGTAACAAATTTACAATTTGATTAGTATGGCATTATTTATCATTATACATTGGTTGTTTGCAGATTTTCGGAGCTTTGTTGCTTCATAAAATGTTAATAGGCTTTTCTCTCGGAATTCGTCTTGTGCAGAGCCCTATGAAAACAATCACAATAATTATATGTTTTTGTATCTTCGCAGGACAAGTAGTGATCGGAGGATTTTGTGGCTTAGAAATTTTGAATTTATTAAGTGGTGGATCATTGTATCAAGCAACATTAATATCGGCTTGTGCTCAAGTTCAGTTTTGATATTTTCTCAGATTTTCTTCTTTCATATTTTCAAAAGTTTTGCAAATCTTATTAAAATTAGATACATTTTATTGCTTTAGGAAATTTACAACATAAAGATCTTCTTCATTTTAAATAATTATATATATATAATTGGATCAAATTATTTTATTATATTGGACCAAATTATTGGAACAAAATAGAAAAATTTAAGGCTTTGGCCTGTGGAACATTCCTTTATGTGACGTGTTTCGAGATTCTGCCTCACGAATTAAACCAACCCACTGTTCGATTGCCGAAACTTGCTTGCCTTTTACTTGGTTTTTTATTGATAACTGCAGTCGTTTTATTGAGTATTTGATAATTTTCATTTAAAAAATTATTTTTATTGTAATCCATACATGGATTTCTATATACGATCAAGAAATTATCAAATTTTTGCAAATCTCAACGCATTTGTTTATTTTTAATCTCTCCTTCTTATAACAGCATTTTTGGCTGTTTTTTTCCAGAGTCCCTTGTGGGCGAGAGCGCAAGTGGATTCTCATTATCACCAGGATTCTCGTAATAGTGATAGTGATTTGTGACAGTGATTTATTCCCATCAAAGAAGCGAATCTGTGTTGCTTATCTTCAGCCTTATCAGTTCAATATAATTTATATAATTCTTCAATTATTTCGTTATCAATTATATTTTGTCTATTTTTTATTGTAACATTTGATTTTATCTTATAGACCATTTACGCAAGCAATAATGCATAATTTTTAAAATTAGGGAATATTAATAGGGAATATTAATATATTTAGGATTTTATTATTACAGATGTTAACCTTGTCATGAAAGGGCGAAAACAAAAAGGCCACTTTTTCAGTACCACTATAATTTTTTTTTAGTTCAATTAAAATGTTAGCAACATCAGAAGTTTTTTTTCAGACTCCACTCGTTTTTTTGAATGGATACTATCGTCTTATATAACCACATACAATTTATTTGAATACACAATATTGATTCGCTGTTCGACACGCAACTGGTCGAAAGACTTTTCTGAATTGATGAAATCTACTACTTTACTCCTCTTCTTCATTTTGGTAATAAGGGAACTGCTAGTTCGAATCCATTTTTTATTTTTATGGCCATGTTATAGCCTTTTTTTTCGCCTTTTCGCTACAAATTTAGCGACGCCGTCATTTATTTGCCTCATTATCGCCTTAAATTATCGCCTTTGCGATTTTGCAATATCAATATTGCTAAATCGTGAGGATTAATCTTCATTTGGCTTAGATTTTAAGCTCTGCACTAAACAAGCTGAAAAGCGAATCTATTCATTTAAATCTCAGCCTTTACCAGTTTAATAAGAAAATTTTTGAAACGAGTTATAAATGCCAAAAATTTTATTTTATTTTTTAAAAATATTATTAAAAATATAATTAAATTATTGGAAGATGAAAATGCTATATGCGTTGAAAAAAAAGCTCATCTATTTCCTCAATATTTTCCTCACTATTGGTTATTATTCTCAGTAATTTCTCTCTCGAGCCTCCTCGACCCGCAAAGCACCACTTTACTATTTATAAAATCTGTGAAACCATTCAAACAACTAACATCTCAAATCATTCACTGCTGCCTCTCGTCATCTCTTTGACAATGTCCTCCGTTCTAATTGGTCGCTTTGCCCGCTTTTTATGTCGTCCTTCACAATATTTCACATTTATGCAAATTGTAATCCATGCAAAAATGTTGATACTTGGTCTTGTCAATTAATGGCATAGTAAGTTTATTTGAATAAAATGTAATTTGTATTTGAAATTATTATTATTTTAATCTGCCATACGAGTGCAATCGCTGCATAATTGGAATTACACCAATCGACTTTCATTATTCATATTTCGTTTACTGTTTTCTCCATGCAAAAATAATTTCTTCCATGAGCTCTATTCCATGAGCTAATTGAGGGGAATCTAATTTGCAGACGTTCACCCATAAGCGCAATAAGCGATATCAATAAAATTGTATAAAGAATTTCAATCGTATTTGAATGGAAGTTTTCCTCTTTTCCTCTTAATTTTTTTCGCTATTTTAATAAGATAAAAATTTTTTTATTTTCATAAATTAAATTATTTTCATCGATTTGCCTTGAATATAAATTGAATAAATATTAAATATTCTACAAATCAACGAAAAATATTTCGAAAGATCGAACGATAATTAAATTTTTAACCGGTGATTTATAGTAATTTTGTATGATAAAATAAAATGAAATTGATAAGCGGAATAAAAGAACCGGAAAAATCATCAAATGGTGATAATAGAAGATGGCGGAGGGTTATTAGTACCAGCTTGGATTTCACTTCTAATGATAAGCTTGCTCCGGCCGAAATCCATGTCCTCATGCAAAAGCAATATTCCTTTAGAGAAAACGCAAGTAGAAACGATAAAATTCTTAGTATTCTTATTTATTATTATTTATTTATTATTTATTAATATTTTTTTAATTTATCACTATAGTGAAAAAACAAAGAACCATAGGAAATAGAAAATAAAACAAACTTTTAAATATGAATTTGAATAAGGAAAATAGATGAACTAAGGATTACTTAGTGATAGAATGGCTCACTGGGCTGTTGCTGGGCTTCTACTCATTCCGAGTAAACGTCAGGCCTAGGCTTAGGTTTAAATATTACTTTCAAAAATCGGTGTGAATGCACTGAGCTCAACACCGAATACGTTGCTTTGGGATTCAGCCGACATTTAGGTAACTGTATGGTTTAAAAATCGGCTTTACCCGATTAGCTTAATTGTCAGAAAAGTAGTCTTTGTGCGGATCGGAGGTTGGAAAGAGGTGTGACGGAGATCAAAGAAATATAATTGTTCCAGGTTTTTGGGAATCCCTGGAGAAAAAAATTGTTTCTGCTTGGATAATAAATTTGCTAAAAATATGAAACTCTTTCCGCGCTCTTATTGCCGTGTGCATGCGAGAAAACACGATGGAACGAGGAGAGGACGAATGAAAAATGAAGAAGAAGGAAAGGAAAAGGAATGAGCATGAAGAGATCTCGTTGTTGTGCCAAATAACTACCACTAATAGCCACGATAAAATTCTCTAAAATTTTTTCATTATTTAACATTTTCATATGATTTTAGTTTAATGACTTGTGATTTCAAAAGATTGTAATGCCGCCACCTCCTCGACCATTAATTTCTACGGAATGTAGCGATCGTTCCGCAGTTGCGCAGTCCGAAACGTCTGCGGTGGATGAACGAGATGTTAGTTGTTTATAAATCATATATTCAGTTTTTCCCTCACCATTACTGGTTAAACTCGCTCCGCTGGCTTGTCGCATCGGGCAATATGCCAGAGAATTTCTTGGCGATAGAAATACAGGTGAGTCACCAGCACGGATTTTTGGATAGGTTCATTCCTGCGGGGAAGCGAACCTCAACAACGGCGTTTCCAATTAGGCAACAACCCAGTGAGCCATTCTATCCCCCCCCCCCCCCAAAAAAAAAAAAAAAAAAAAATTATATTCAGTTAATATTAATTAACTAATTAAATAATTAGAAATAACTAATTTCTAATTAAATAATTAGAAATAGTAAGAAATTTTGGCAACCGACTCTATGTTTCAAATAACAGCCTCTTTCTATTGTGATTTCCTCTTGCCCCCAGGACTTCAGCCGATCTTTCGGCGGTTTCCAAATTAGGCACTGAGAGATGAAAAGGGTTATCCACTGCGGGTTATTTAACGATGGCAGTAATTACTGCTTGATTATGTTTTAATCATGTAGTTTTCGTTTTTTTTTAATACTATTATGAATAAATATTTTGTTTTTTCTAGACTATCAAACGCATTTTATCCGATTTTCAAGCGTTAACTATTGCTGCAGAAGATGTTAGCTCAGTTTATCGAAATTTACGACCGCTTTGGGCTTCATATCCTGTGTCAAATCTTGTTGATCCTGCTGTTCGAATTTTTGTCAAAATACCTTGCGCAAGGTTGGCATTTTATAGATATATAAATAAATTTAAACGAATTTTAAAAAAAGAAGGCTATTCTTCAAAATAAGGCTATTCTTTGCTTCGAGAAATATATTTATTTGTAAATGTTTTTAATTTATTTGAATTTTATTTAAATTAATCCAAAATTTATTCGATTTATGGGTTCTTATGAAAATTTTTCTTTTACAGGAATGCGTTTCTTCATTATGTTGGCATGTTGACTCATGAAGCTACGCATCTCTATTTTTCAAAAAAAGAGAATCCACATTTTTGTATATTTATTTTTCATTTGCAATACTAAATTTTTTTTAGGGGAGAAATAAATGTTGTTGATTTTCATTTGTTAATTAAACAGGTATTCTTTAAGGCTTTAGTAATAAAAGAGAGATTTTTCAAAATATGTAATTTTTTCGGTATTTGAATGATTGATTTAACATGATTTAAAATGAATGATTTAACGATTACCATTTCTGATTAGGCTTTTTCGTCATTTGCTAAAATAGATGAATTGCTACTCGGAAATGATAGATTGACTGGCGAGGAAAAGGAATAGGGTACTTACTCTAAAATCTGAGGTACTTGGCTACCAATTTTTTGTCTTTATTGCCTATAAGTAATTGTGTGAGAATTGAAAACTATTCAATTATGAATTAATAAGAGTATTGACTATTAGTGAAAATTTTTATATTTTCGATTGTTTTTCAATTTTAATTTCAATTTTACTTAATCAGTTATTTTATAGCCACTGAATTTATAAACGTGGAACGTGCTGTGAGACAATTGACGAATGAGATTCAGCAATTGCTGGATGTTAATGGTTCGAAGAATCTTGCTTCTGATATCTTGATCGTTTGTCTAAACTTTTTTCCTTTAATCATTATTATCATTTGCTATAATAAATCGTTAATCTAAATTTTTTTCAATATCTTTTAATCATTAATTCTACTTATTAATTCGATGGAATGATTAATTTAATATAACTGATATTCTAAATGATTAATTTGGATAGTATCACGCTTTTTAAAAAATATTTAAGAAAGCTATTTCCAATTTTTTAGTGGTCATGTTTGTTGTTTATTGATATCTGCAAGTGCAATTATGAAAGGCCAATCGCCAAAAAAACTGGAATATCATCAATAGCACTACTTGAACTTTTTCAGTCGTGCCCTTCAGTTAATTACGTTATAAATCTAACAGATAAGGCTATTTCTTTACTGTGAGTTTTTTTTTTATTTCTTTCTTTATATTTCCTTTAAATTTCTTTTTTTTTGTTTCTGTAAGTTATATTTGGTAACTGCCACTATTTAGACAGGTTTTTTTCAGTATTTAGGATTTATATTTGGTAACTGCCACTATTTAGACAGGTTCTTTTCAGTATTTAGGATTTATATTTGGTAACTGCCACTATTTAGACAGGTTTTTTTCAGTATTTAGGATTTAAGTTATATTTTAAAAAAGATTGCTTTAAATTTCACTGTGTATGCCATTTTTATTATTCCTGCACATGTTTTTTTTACTACAGTTTTTAATTTAAAATATTATATTGTAGTCTGAATGCCTCATCAGATGAATGCCTTAATATCTTGATGGATGCTTCAAGGCATGGCTTTTGTTTCGACTGGATATGGCTTCATATTGCGTTTGTTTTTGTTAAAATTGTTAATTCTCTATTGTAGGAAATTTGACTTATCATTTTTTGTTTTTTTTTGTTTTTGCTTTTTTTCATTTGAACTTCGCTACATTTTACCATTTATATAAAAGTATAGAACATTTTCTTAAAAATGAAACTCGGTAGCTCTGGAAAAAAAACCCTTAGAAAGTATCTTTGTCGGTTTGTAACGTTTTTTAATATTTCTTAGTTGGACTACTTTTTTATCACTTCGCTAATCTATATTATATTTATAAATTTTTAGAGTCACATTTCCTGAAGCGATGGTACCATGTTTATTGGAATTGGGGCACAATGAATTTAAAGAATTTGCTTTGAGTATTCCCGTAATTCAAATTTATTCATGATTTGTTGCTGTTAAAAATCAAATAATTTTAACTCCGTATCCAAATATTTATATACTTTAAAATAATTCCTAACAAAATAATTAAATAATTTTAAAATAAATAATTTTAAAACAATTTGTGATATTTCTCAGTCAACACAAGCTCAACAACTGGATAAACAAGAAATACATAAGCAGAAATTTATTTCCTTATGTGAAATTATTACTTATCTGGCTTCTAAGCGTCGAGGAGATTTAAGGAAAGCTGTCCGAGAAATGCTAATTGTAAGTGATTATTCGTTTATCCTTATTTAATTTATTTTTATTAATTTATTTACCTTAATTTATTTTTTCGCTGCTTACTTTTTATTTAATTCAGAATAGCATTGAAAAAATGGATGATCTTGAGAATATGAAACCATTATCAGATGATTCTGATTTGACGACTTGTTTTCTATTCAAATTATCTACTAATTCACCTGAAATCTTACAATTTTTGGTTCATTCTATTAATGATCTTGGTATTTTCGTTTTTTTCGTTATTGGTTATCAGTACCATTAGAAAACTTTACACTGATTGTTACATATTTGTATAGTCCACCAGTACTTTACTTTCTTTTTTCCCTTTGATGATCGATTAAAAATATATTTTACCATAATTTAATAATTTTAATTTAATTTTAATTTAATTAATTCAATCGATAATTTAATTTTTAGTCAATTACCACGTTATTTTATATACCGCTATGCAATTAGCTGGGCTTAATCAACAGTGTATTTTGCCAGTATTGCCAAATGTTGAATTTACTTATGTAGCTTTTTTCCGTCATATGATTTTTTATCTTAAAGCTGATATTCTTGCTATCGTGTTCCAAATGATCTCTCTGTTTGTGTTCGATCTTCATATCTTGGAAGGTGGTTTATTGTCGTATTTAATAAATTTCTTCGTGTAAAGGGTTTCTAACTTTCAAATCATACCATTGATTTGATTTGCCGTTCTTCATTTTCATTCATTTTTCAGATTTTTCCCGTATTAACCAAACTCTTGCTGAAGATATCAGAGTTGGCGCGACAATTGTCACGGTTATTTTCCAATTTTTTTTTTATTTCATAAAGTTTAATTCTCAGAAATTTAAAATTTTGTTTCCTTTTTTTCAGTCAGATATTATTGGTATAATTCTATCAAAAGTGTACGACAAGTTAACTTTCAATGTTGCGGATTTTGTTCCTTTTAATGAACTGACATGCGATGCATCAAAATTAAAGCATTTGATTCAACAAACACTTGACGCGGATGGTGAAAGGTTTGCCCTTTATTTATTGCGTTGTCTTATAGAAAATATCAGAAGTTAAAGTAAGTTAGATGCTTTATAAAAATAGCATGTGAAATTTATATTTTTTATTTTTAAATTTTTATAATACGAATAAATTGAAGATCAACCCTATATTTGTCATATTTAAATGCATTTTGTATGGCTAGTGAACCAGCAACTACATCGGAAATTATCGCTAGATTTATAGTTGAAGCACGAAATGAACAAGAGGTTAGTTTATGAAATTAAAGCAGGTATGAGATCTATTATGATTTATCAAATATTTGAGCAAATTGGCCATTTGCACGTGGATAAATATGCCAATAACCAATAGCCTTGAATCAGTAACAAAATAAAATGAAAATTTACAACAAGGCGTTATAAAAGACGTTGTTGTAGATGAGTACCATATAAACTAATCAAAAATGTATAAGTTTTCCTCTTTTCGTTTCATAAAGTAATATCCAAAATCTTCATCTTCATTTCTATCACCTTATTTATCTTCTCCACAAAATATTTAAATCATTTTGTGAATGTTCAATGAACGTTTAAATGGTTTTATGAATGCGTTATTTATCTTCTGAAATTAACTTAAAACAATTCGCAGGCCACAATTTAAAACTGAAAACATATTCCTATTGTAATAGTACGAATTAAATAAAAAGTTATAATTTTTTTATAATTTTTAGTTATAATTTTATAAATAATTTTTTTTTAAAAATTATTTTACATAACTCAACTCAATTTCTCTATTTTTAATTTCCAAATGGGCTCACCTGGATCTCATTACTTTGAAACTCGAGCAACCACATAACTTATGGAACGACCAACATAATATAGCCATAATTTTGAGTGAATAGAACAAAAATGAAGAGTGAACAAAATTAAAAATCTTTTTTTTGTTTTTCCAACATTTTTCCAAGATAAGCAAAGATACATCAAAAACATTTGCAAAATCTTTTTGCAAAGGAACGGATTATCGAATTTCATAACATTGCATTAGAGGATTACAAGTGGAATTATAGTGAGTTTCAGTTATATGATTTGAATTATTATTAATGGTGCATTTAGAATTAAGGCGATTTTTAAAGGTGTTCGAAGTGATGCCGCTGATTTTTATCCTCAGTTAGTTCTCTAACAAAATTAGAGTCCGATTAGTCCTATTAGTGGAGCAAGTTTAGCCACAAATAGAAAGCGTTTTTAGGATAAAAATTAAATTATTTTACATAATAAGCCAAGATCTGATCTGTTTTACAACTTGTGGTTTTTTTGCAAAATGGTCATAACATTCAACAATTTAGGAGAGTTATTTATTGTTTATTATTTTTAAGATATTCGTTCGTTTTTTTTCTTTGAGGCACTGAGATTTTCTATAAAAGAATATTAGGAAAAAAATTATATGCAATAATAAACAATCCATTACAAGGTTTTTACAATTATGCGAGAGTGGTATTAATATTTTATTAAGAAAAAAATTTCAATCACAGTTAAAAATCACAGTTTTTTGAATTTATAGTTCATTAAAATAGGTTTATAATTGATTCACTGAAATATTTCATATTTCTCTATTGGAAGAGTAATCTGCCTTTCTTAAATTTATCCTATGAAATAGATAGTTCAATTTTCTTTTGCTTTTGGAACCATAAATTTTTAGTAAAAACTGAACTTCACTTAGGATTTTTATTTCTTTAGGCCATTACTCCAGCAATTTACATTTTTTGAGTTGAGTAGTATGTTTCAAATTTAGCGAAATAAATTATGATTAGGCCCAGGAATAAATGGTATAATTTAATGCAATTTTAGCGATGTTTATTTGCAAAGTACAAATGTAGCGTAATATCTTTCTAGTGGAATCACTTATTTATAGTCGAACTTAATTATTAATTATTAGTAATTTTTCAGTTGCTTAAGCTAAGCGCTCTTCTCTTATCAATTCTACCATTTTCCCCAAATGTCGGCGAAGAAGCAATGAAAAAATTTTTTACAAATCGTGCTAAGATTGAAGAGGAAAAACGTAATGAAAAAATGATGCAGAATCGATGTAATTTAGGTATTTCTACGAATTGTTTGAGTATATAAATAATCCGATTTGTAATTAATTTGTAATTCTTTAATTTTTTTTCATAAATGAACGGTAAAGTTTACAGTTTTTAGATAATGAAGCAAATATTTTATTGGACGAAATTGTAAATGTAAGATGGCTTGAAAATTTAAGAATTTTGAATGAATGGCAAAAAGCATTGGATGGCAAAAATCCGTTAAAATACGTTAGGTAGTTCTTTCAATAAAGAAATTTTTTTAACAGAAATTTGTTCAGATATAGCCATTGTTGCTGATAGATTAATTATTCAAAAATAAATTTTCTTTTAGATTCGAAATGACCAAGTTCTATGGTGAAATAACGACGAATGTATTCAGCTGGGTTCTTGATACTTTATCTTTTCTGGATGATATTCAGGATAAGGTGCTTGGAAATTCTTTGGAACTTAATTTTTTTCAGATTTTCAAATTTTTGAATTGAAAATTTCAGGCGGGTGATAAGTATGATCAACTTATGGAATCAGTTGTACAAGGATCAATTTCACTTTGTTCGTCGATTACCGTCCCTTCCATACTCTCTTCAAGATTTTCCTACAAAATTTGTGCACAATTCGCAACGCTGCTTATCACACTTCTCAAAAACGTTTGTGATGGTTTGTGATGTTTTTTTCTTTCAAAAATATAACCAAAATTATTAGTTTAAAGAAATATTTTTGAATCAAATATTTCCAGCATATGATTAATAAATTCATGCATTGATCTTTTTTTCAAAATTTATAAAATGTTCTTAAATTTATAAAATGTTCAATATTTCATTTCTAGGTGAGTATGATGCTTTAAAAATTTTTTTATGATATTTTAATTTGCATCGATTTCATCTTTTGTTTATGAATAGAGAATGGTTTTAAATAAATATTAATATCGAATATTTTTATATTTCTGATGAAAAAAAATTTTTTCTTGCAGATAATACGCCATCTAGCTATTCTCTCTTTCTGAATATGCGTGCATGGGGAAATGATTTTTTATGCTGTCAAGTTGTATATCTGCGTCAGCAGTTTATGTCACATTTTCTTGATGAAGCATTAATGGTATTTCATTCGCACTTTTGTTTTTTTATTTTAGTTTGTATTTCAAATATTTTTTAGGAACTTCTTGGAATATCTTCAAAATTTTTTCGTTTTATATATCTTAACTGATTTTTTGAATAAAATTTTAGTATGCAGACAAGCTTTTTGATTGTTCATCTATCGATGTTTGGGAAATGGAACAAACTTTCGCTGGTGGTTGTCGTAAAAAAAATTCATGGAAAGATGATGGTAACGATCAAATTTCGCTTTTTGAACAAATAAGAACTATGTCACTCGCGCCTTTAAAAGCAGTTCAGATGGCACATTCTGGAGTAATTGGTGCTGGATTGAGAAGGAAAGAAGAAATAGATAAAAAAGTACCGTAATATTTCTTCTTGATCTTGGAAAAAGAAAGCATATTTTTACTGTATAATGGCTCATGGCTCATGTCTAAGTTAAATCAAAATATTTTAATATTTTAATAACAAGAAGAAAAATAAGCGAAATAATATATTTTCTTTCCCAAATAATGGTCATTTTTCAGAGTGGTTTTCACATGCGTAGATTAATATTTTTCGATTCTATTCAAAGACTTGCATGTACGACAACATCTGATAATGATTTGGTTCCACTCCATCAAATTTACAAACATTTAGTAAGTCTGAAATTTTCATTGTTCATTCACTTCAATATTGTGGTTGCTTATTCATATTGATATTCACTTGTTGTGGTGTTTAATTTTATTTATAATTCAACTCTGTTTATAATTTATCGGCCCAGCATATTTTATGTTTATGTTTGGTTATTATTTTTATAATTTTTTAATGTCTAGTATGATTATAGGCAATAAAAATAACTGATCGAGTTTGCAAAGATGGGCTTACAGGCGCTTTTATCTGGAATGAATGGGAACAAGAAAAAGAGAATATTGCTAGGTTTTACGCTTCATCAGCATTGATATTATTTCGAGATAAAAAGAATACGCCTTTTTTTACCATTTTTTTTCCATTATGATGTACAGTATTTCATGAAGGTTTTATAGATATATCGCAGCAGCTCGACGTCTTTCTGAGAGTTATTTTTTGTGGGATTTGATGTTCGCTGTTGCTGAAGTGTATCCTTGCCTTTGGTACTGTAGCCCACTTTTGAAGGTATAATTCCTCCATTAAATGTTCTAGTAATCCCAGTATTCGATCCATGTAATATTATTTTTTATGTTAAGTAATTAGATGGTAGCTGATTAAATAAACAGTGGTAAACATTCTCAGCAATTGTTCTATTTTGTGATTAAATTTTATTTTTATAGTCTATATTCGCAACTATCTTAATCCAGTTCGAAAATAATTCTGATCGAAAATCATTGCCATCGAAAGAAATTGTGGATTTGTTGGATCGGTGGTTTTTGCTCACGAAAAGAGTAAATTTAAATTTTTAATATTGAAAGAGAAATTGTGGCAAATAGCAATAATTTTTTTTTAGCATTGAATAACCAGATGCATAGATTTTTTTCTTGATTACAGTTTCTAATCGTCAATTTCATTTAAAAGATTCGGTAAATTAAATATGGTTTGTCTGAAATCTCGATTTTAGGTTTTTATGTTTCTCTAAAAAATTTATTATTTTCATTTAAATTAAGCATTTTTTAAGTTATTGAAAAATAATAAAATAATTTCATCAGTCAAATGCTCTTAGCAATATTTTTAAGGAGAAGCTCTTTCCAATATTGTCATTTATTTATTTAGGGTCAGATGCTTCCCAGGCAATTAGCACTTTTTGTCGATGTTATTCAGAATGTAAGCATACATGAAGGACATAATGTTTTATTGGATATTTGGCATTATTTTCAAGTAAAAAGAAATTTTCACTCTTTAAATTCGAAATATAAAACTGTTGTATTATTTTTTTATAGCTCTTCGAAGGAGGAATTTTTCAAATCAAGTTTTAATCGTTAATTTTGGTCTATTTTCAGTATTTTCAAATTTAAATTATCAGATTAAATTTTGGAGCCATAATTTGCAATAATTTACATGAATATTTTATTTTTAATAATAAATATGTTAAAGAATTTTTTCGAGAAGGAGACTCATCCTATAAATACGCTGAATACAATTTTCGAGAAGGCTGTAAATGGAGTGAATGAGCTAATTCAAGTAAGTTTTTTTTATATTATGATATCCAAGGCATCGATATTGCATATCTTAAAATTTTGCCATCGATATTGCATATCTTAAAATTTTGCCATCGATATTGCATATCTTAAAATTTTTGTTGCTAATTCTTAGGGTGATCTCAGCAATTCTCGAGAAACCTGTAGACTAGTGATTCAACGAAATATAGTCAAATTAGGCTGCCTGTTCCCCTTGATATTTGCTGATGAACTTGTGGATGTAAAGGAAATATAGCTTCGATTTTGTGTTCAGTTCGGCTTATGAATTATATCAATTCTTCTCGCTCAGGTATTTAGAGAAATGGTTTTCGTAAATAACGCAAATTGTGTATGAATAATTCTTTTTTTCATTCCAAATTTGCAATCTTGTAATTTATCAATAGTAATTCCTTTTTTTCGATTTTCCTTCACTATTTTGTATTATTATAGTTTTATTATTCATTGCGGAAAAATTTTTGTAAATAATTTTCAAAAGAATTATCTTTTCCAGTTTTTTAATGTATATAATGTATGTTGCTTGATCATTGTTTTGGTGGGTATATTTGTATATGTCGATCAAGAAACATAATCGCTATTTCAAACTGTAGGTTCATGGCCCCCGTCATTTTGAAATTTATTGATGTCCTCTAAAATCTATAATATTTCGTGCAAAAGTTCCTTATTTTTATTCCCGTACATCTCTAAATCCTCGCTTTGCTGCCATCATTTTGGCTCACTTCATAAATACTATTGTCTTAAATACCTTTTTGATATCTCAATGAAGCCCTTTTGATTAAGATTGGACATCGTTTTGGACTTGTCAATATAATAATTTAATAAATAATTTTTATCCTTTTTAGCCCTTCAGCTATTTTTTATCTTTAGTTCATTTTAACTTTAATTTATTTTAACCAATAATTGCATTTAATTAGCACATTTTTTTTCAAAAATTTTGTAAAATACAATCTGTTTATATATTATCAGTTAAAATATTTTCAGATTATTCTGTTTGTCGATGTGATAATTATTTTTTTAAAGTTTTACAAATTTACAAATTTATTCTCATTTTTTGTTGTTTGATTGACGAAAGAGTACAAACGATTTATCGAGGAAAAATTTTCAAAAAAAAAAAAGTTAAAATAAATATTTTTACTGACAGTAAGTAAAAATGATTCAGATATTCGCTTTCTTCATCGTTTTTGCATTTAAAAAAACGCGGTTTATTTATTATTTCTTGTGAGATAGCCATCTCATCGTTTTTTCTGTGCATTCACGTTTTATACAAATAAAATGCCTATTAGTTCGTTTGTATATTATTTGACAATAATGCACTACGATTTGAACAGTGAACGCTTATAAATGCGAAATACGAAATATGTATATTGACTGTCTGAAAAAAAAAAGGAGAAACGAAGAAATATTTGCGATCGGCGATTTTAAAAAATCTAAAAAATTTGATTGGGGGAGAAAAAAACGGAGATTATCGTTGATGCTTAAAGCATCTTTCGAATAGAGTCAATTTTCCTGTTTCTTTTCTTTTTCACTTTTAAAATCATAAAAATTTTAGGAAAAAAAGTTTTATTCACATTTTTTTTGAAAAGTATTTTAATAGCAATAAATGATTTAGATGACAGTAAAGGTTTAAGGAGAATATAATCGAGCGGTGTATTGTTTCGATTGTCATTTCAAGCATGGCGGCTCTTCGTTTTCTGTCTTCTGGCTGAAGTTAAGTCTGAGGTTAAAAAAATAGCGATGGTACTGCTATTCTCCCTACGCTCATTTCTATCCCTATATGGCTGTTGTCCTTCTAATGACTAGCGGAGCGGGCTGACCAGAAATCGTTTGTGCTTACCAACAGTTAGCTATATATGGTACACTTAGCCTATAGGGACCGCGTCCTTAATTTTGCTTTTTCTTTTTTTTCTTTATCGAAAGAATAATATTGTTTAAATTGAATCTTTCAGATAAAGCACAATATACGAGTAAGTTTGTAGGTAAAGTTTTGAATACTCAAAGCATTGATCAACTGATGAGTTGAAAATATTATTAGCTATCTCACTGTATTATGAGTTGATAAGAAGAGTGATAAAAAAAAGGTGAATATGGAATATATATTTGTTTGCCATTTCAGAGATGCGATACTGCTATCAGCCTTTTCTAAAAAATAACTTTTGTACTAATTAGTTCTTTTTTTTTATTTCAGGATTTTTACACTTATATTATTTTGGTGTATAAAATCGGAGATATGATTGCATAGCAGTACTGCACCAAATAATCTTAGTTAGGGTGGGATGAGCTGAGCGATGGTTGCTCGTATTGTCATGTCGAATTTCAGGATTTCCTGCTTGCACCAGGAGTAAGATTATCATTAAAAATGGTGCCGAATGGCGTTTTCTCCCTAGCAAGTATTTCTCATCGTGGTAACAGTCGTTTAAGCGAAGTCTGACCAGAAAATAGCGACCTCTAACTACTTAATTGCTAAATTTTTTATAATTTTTGTTGATCGAGACAAATTGCAATCCTCATTCATTAATCTATTTTTTAAGTGAAGTAAAACATAAAGAAAAGAAAAATTAAGTACAAATTTCGAAGTTATTGACAAATTTTAAATTTTATTAAACATTAAATATAATTGAAATATTAAATTTTTCTGAAAATCTGAAAAATATGCGATTAAAACATTCATTCAGTTGGTAAAATTTCAAAAAAATTGAATCAATCAGCCAGCATATTAGAAGAAATATTTAAGGTGGAAGAAAAAGGAAACATTTTACGATCTCTCGACGACCGAAAATAAAAAAATTGTATAGTATACGTCGAAAAAAAAAGGAATTGATATTGAATCAGTCAGTGTCTGCATTTCGATAGGCGACTGATAATATAGCCTCTTCATCAAGCAATTCTAGGCAAAACACGGTAAATGAAGCATGAACTGCGTGTGTGCGTGTAAATGTTCGTTATCATCATTATCATTTGAGCTTAATTTTATTTTATCCACACTTATCCATATTTTCATTTCGCTGATTCGCTGATTACTTGGCTGGTAATATTTGATACTTTTTTCTTCGTTGGCATATTTTGGTATATTTTGAAATGAATAAAATTCGTTACTACGAAAATTTGGAGATTAATCCGTTCATTGATTTCTACTCTATAAAATTCAAAAAATTATCAAAAATTTTCTAAGAGCAAAAATACTACTTGGTTCCAAGACTTTCAGATAATTTATTATTAACTTCCATCTACTTTTTTTTTTTCATTTCGGATTTCGAAGACCAACAAACCTTTAAATTTGTTTATAAATTGTTTGGCTTCGTTAGTGTTTTGCTTCAGTTTTTCTATTTTTTTGAATGACACTGTTTCAGTAATGACTTTCCTTTCTGTTTTATTTTGGGCCTTCGCTAGCTTTCTATTTTTTAATATTAATGCAATTTGCTTTTTCGATTTCTAATTGTGTTTTGAAATCATTAAGAAATCATTAAAAATGGAATCCGGAAGCGGTGTTCAATTCGATAGAGCATACCTTTATTTCCAAATAATTCTCCAATAAAAGTACCATCCAGTAGAGTGAATCTAATCAAAAATGGTGAATGCCATTAGAAAATGAAGTGGTGTTATATATTTAAACTATTTTCTACAAGTAGAATGAGGAGATTCAAACCTTTTTAACTTGGCAGATTAAACTTATATTCATTCTAAAGATTAGATTTTAAACTATTTAGCACAAATTGTTGGCGTTAAGTGTTAATGAATACAATTCTTTGAGTATATATTAATATGGTTTCTGGATTTCCTTAATGGATTTCGACTTAAAATTACATTAATCTATGAAATCGATGGTAAAGCAAGAAAAACTGGGAAATTCAATAAATTTGTATTGCCGATTATAAACGTTATATCTTATTTATTGGTATCAGTTACCTTCTAATAAACTATAAAAAATTGGAAAATTCTTGAAAACAAACATTCTTTAAACATTCTAAAAATTGCTCTCTATACTTAATAAAATTTTAATTTTGGTTGTATAAAAAAGAATATAATTCCATCAATTACGACTTAATTTAAAAAAGCTGTTGAATAATAAGTACAATTATTTAAGTACAACATGAAAGTCAAAAGCTTTATACTTGCACACATCGATAATAATATCAATGAATCAGGCTGTAACCACTTATTTGAATGATAACAAGATAATAATGATAATAATAATGCAGCCATTATAATAAGATTAGTTTTTTTGGAATAACTTTGATAACTTTAGAACAAGTTTAATGGCCTATATTTAAAATTTTTATTATGCACAATTAGATTTTTCAATTCTAAAAATTTTGAAAGACCACTAGCCAATTATATTTATCACTTATAAATTATATATATAAATCTATTATAAATATTACTAAACTATTATAATTATTACAATTAACTAATTTTTGCATCGTACTTAATTATGAATTTAAAATTTTAATTTTAATTTTTTATTTTAATGGTACCAATAAGTAAGTAAGTTCGGTAAAAGACTTGAAACTTCAACTTTAGAACTATCATAGCCATCGCGCTTCATTTAAAAATATTCTTCATTTACAACGTTTTTTTACTTATAATATGACTCTTTTCTAGATCTTTTATTCTATTCACAGCACCTGCATTCCGTTTTTAATTCAAAATTTTGACTGAGGCATGTTGCTAGTGAGTATTCAAATCGTTTCACTTATTATCAACACCATTAATGCATTTTGGGTAAGTTTTATTGTGAAATTTATTTATGTAATACTCGGAAGCGAAGCAAAATTAATATTCGTCCACAACAGCGCCGCTAAACAAAGGAACTGAATAAATATTGAAGTTTCGGTGAAAGTGGAAAATTTTTTCTGATTTTGCCAACCATATATATTTCGACTATAAAAATTTATATTGTAGTTTGTAAAATAGCACTTAATTATTCATAGTTGAACTATTTCTTCATAAATGATTAGCATTTTAGTTTTCAGATAGGTGAGGAGCATTGGACTACGGTAAGTCATGATGGAAGATTATTGGATGATCGCACAGTAGGGGATTTTCTCATTTTCGATACGATACATCATAATATTAGAATGAAGAACGCTTATGTGGCTTACTGGTAAATGATTTCTAAAAATAGTATTTAAGTGTGGTATGTTCACAATTTCGATTACGGTATTATGAGGGGCATGAAATGAGTGACTGTTGTGCAGGCTAGAATGGTTCATCAAGGTTTAAAGCCTGCTTCCAACACGAGCAAACTCGTCACTATGAGTGGCTCAAGCATTTCTATCCCAAGTGATTCTCTGGGAAAAATAATAACCAGTGAAGCATGGTTAATTGGAAATGGTGTGAACCAATCATTATTATCATGGCCTAAGATAAATTTCGAGTCAAACATTCATTCCTTTATCAAACTTTCAATCAGTAAGATGAAACTAAATCGATTTATTTTTGGATTAATCGTTTAAAACAATAAAAACATAAAAAATTTTAATATGGTCCGATTTTTATAAAAAGAATGTAAAACTCAGTTTTGACTTTTATAGGATCACAAAAGATGATCGTGGTCACTACGAGACATTTGGCCATGCTTACTCCACTGATCAAGGAGTATGTGCTCGATTCGTTGATCGTAACCAGCAACCAGTGAAGCTATGCGGTGGTTTTCGAGTGTTGTCTAGGAGCATCAAAGCTGGCATTCCAAATCCGTTAGTTAAAATTTTTTTGCTTTTCAAACAGCATGCAAAACCACCGAATGCAAATTTAATTTTATTTAAGAATATTTCGCTAAATTAATTAATGTAAATATCCATCATTGGTATTGACTTATATATTGTCTTGCTAATTATGTTTGCATCAAATTTTCTGATATTATAAAATGTAAAATTAATTATTACCATTATAGATTCAAGTTTGTACGAGCTGAGGAGGTAGAAAATCATCAACCTTTAGAATATCGTGGAAGACAAATAGCGAAAATCGTCAGCTGGCAGAAAAATGAAGGTTTTTATGGTAGCGCTAATATAGCTGAGCAAACTGCAGAAGGCATTGATTATGAAGATTCTTATGTTCAGGTTTATTTAAAATTATTATTATTAATAATGATAATTATTTTTCTTATCGATGAAAAATACTCGCATTGAGTTAAATCCTACAAAAACCACTAATAATAAATGATAACAAACAATGATAACAAAGTTCATGCCTTGAAGGTTGAATTTTCGTAAATTTATTTCGCAAATGTTTAACTTTATAACCTCACTTTAATCCTAATTTTTAAAACCCACTGTTTATTGTTTCAGTAATTTACCAAGAATAACAAATTAATAATTAATATCTTTTATAAACATTTGTTAAGCCAAAAAATTGTAGCTGATAAGCATTAAAAAATCGTTTTTACTATTTACAATCAATTTTTATTGAATTATATTTTGCAGATCTCATATCAGTCAGATCCATACTTCTATAGTAATTACGTTTTCATTTTGGTAATGAAAACGAGTCATGACATGGACAGCAATGAAATATTCGGTATTTCCGAATATAAAGCTTTTTATCACACACCTGAAGAAACGCACTATCAAAAATCTAAAAGAAGTGATAAAATGACGCACGAACGACGCCATAACTATCATCGTCACCATCACCAAAATCATGATAATAGGAAGAAACATAAGAAACATATTCATGGAAAGAACGATCAATTAAATAATGAGATAGAGAATGATGATTCTCGTTGGAAGTTTTTCGTTCTGTAAAATTATTTTATTTTTTAAACTTTTATTGCAAGGCGAATTAATAATATCTTCTAATTTTTAGCGAAAATCCTATACCTTAGGCTTTTACCTGCCATAATTACTTACTGCCATATATTTTTACTAGCAAAAAATCATGGAAAAAAACCATTCGCTTCTTGGAAAAGCGTCAATTTTTGCATCTTTAAAGCTCTTTCACTTACTGCTATAATTAATTTAAAAAATCTATGCCTTGTAATTTTTATTGGTATTTTAAAAAATATTGGTATTTTCATGAATGAACTTATTTATCCAAAATTTATAGATTTGACGATTTTTCTTTTTTCTTTGTGGAGAAGTCGGAAAAATCTTGAAGCCGATTTTTTTCAGGAATCGGGACTTTTCTTAATAATTTTTTTATTAAAAAAGCTGAAAATCACCAATATCCATTATATGGCATATTTTTTAATCTTTCTTTTCCTTTGCCTATTACAATGTGAAATTTGCTGTTGCATTGCGTTGCTTTTATCTTCATTTCTTTTCAGCTTTTATTGATTATGAAAATCCATGAAATCTGTGTCCACGCTTTAATTCATATTTCCTTCTGGAAATCTCAAAAAGTTAATTAATAAAATTTATAAATATTAAATCCCTCAAGCAAAACAAACCCTGAAAATATTCCAATATTTTAGCTAAACTTCGAAAATCGAAGATAAAATTGTAAATAAAGAAACAATCTAATAAACACTGAATAAATAATTTTCTTCCTATTAGTAATTCAACATTATACAATAAATCTTTCATCAGTCTTTCAAATCTCAGTTTTAGGAGACTAATTTGCTTCGAAGACATGTTAACTGCTTAGACCAACCACTTCAGTTAGAATCCGTCAATGCTCCTTGAGAGAAACAAACCCCGTCTCTCACCAAAAGCGAAGTCCTGATGGATCGACCTATTATTTAAATAACATAGCTCAAACTGCCTCTCTTTTCCTGTTTTCCTTCAATCCTTTATCTAACTATTTGGTGAAAGAATTAATAACCGAAATATTTGGACGATTGGAATCATCATTTTTGGTGTCATTTGTTTCCGAGAAGAGAAATGTAAAAATTTTCGAACATTTGCTGTTAATTGTTATCAAAGCCTTTAAATTAAACCTTTATATATTCAATATTATACAATAAAAACTCAAAAACTATTTATAATTATGAGCTTTAACAAATATAAGATCATAACACAATAATTAACTGAAATCAGAAAAAAAAATCGCGACAAATATTGCCATTTATGGCGCAGCGAAGACCATTCCTTGAATTATCAGTTTATCAATTTATCAATTAATTCATCGATTCATCATCATCCATTGATGTTAATTTTTATAAGAATAAAATAAATAATAGAATGAATAAAATTATTATTTTATTAATTTTTCAAGATAAAATTTTTTTTTTGCAATTTTTAACCAAAAATTTTAATTTTAAAAGAAGAATTCCATCCGAAATCCCAAAAAGTATACTTTTTTATTTTCTTGTAGAATTAATTAAATCGCTTTTTCATCATTTTAAACAAATCGAAAAAAAGGAAGCACGGCGGCAATACAATACAAATATATAACGAAAAATCCAACGAATCACAGAAGTGCGCATAGAATGCATTTGGAAAGGACGCACGCAAAATTTAGAATTTGCATCACATATTTATTTCTTTACTTATAAGACAACGTTTGACCGATGTGACCGATGAGAGAAATTAGTAATTAATCGTAAATTTCCTTGGAAAATCAAAAAAAGAAAAATTGAAGAAATATTCGTAAATCGCAAAAAAAAAGAATAATGCCGAATGTTTATAATTATATGTGGAAAAAAAGAAAAGAAGGAAGAAAGTGAAAGCAAAACCTAGGAAAGATTTAAGCAGTTCTCGAGATCGTTCATGCCATATACATATTCACTATAATTGGTAATATAATTGCAAAAAAAAAAAAAAAAAAACAACAATAATAAACTGATTTATTCTTTTGGGAATTTTTTTGGAGAATGAAGAACGCTTCAAAATATTATTATAAATGAGCGAAAGTCAAGGAGATTCGTTTATAGCTAAAATTATTTGCATTGTTGGATTAATAATTATTGACGAATGACCACCACACATAAATTGCATGAAATCCTTATTCTCTCCTCCTCATTTCATTCAAAAATTTAACAAATAAGGAAAACAAATAAACGTATAGCCTTTTCTCAGATATTACAATAATAATAATAATAACAATGATAATCTTCATTTAATAATTTTTTGAGATAAAAAAAATTTTTGATAAAGTTTTTTCAAAAAATTAACGTTAAAGCATCTGAAAAGTGAGATCATTCCAAAGTAAATTGTAAAGAAAAAAAACTGGAAATTGTAAAACAAAAAAAGTAAAATTAGAACCGCAATCTGATAAATTGAATTATCGCAATGATCGCATTTTTAGCAAAACAAAATTTATTAATTTTGCCAGAAAGATTCCCAAAATATATTCCTATCATATCTTTTAGGGAAAAATTTATTTCCTTTATCAAGACTATACGTCTCTTAATGGTCTCAAGGAAAAATTTGTGGGCAAAAAAAAAAAAACAAGAAAAAAGGTTTCAACTGGTTTATAGAGAAAGAAATTTGATCCACAAAAAGCTTCGAGAAAAAAAGAAAGAAAAACAATCACGGCACATCCATGATATCTCACAATAATGATAATTCGAAGGAAATTTTCTCCACTGCAACAATGATTTTAAAATATTAAATAATATTATAATGTAGCATAAAATAATTTAAAGATAAATTTAAATATAAAAAAACGTTGAAAATGAAGAAATGAAAATCAAAAATTTTATAAGATCATAAATGGAAAGATAATAATAGTAATCTCCACGTATAAAACGTGGATTAAACCAAGAAAAATAACAAAAATCACAAAAAAGGATGGGTGGATACTCTCGATCTTTAAATTTAAATTTTTTTAAAAAATCTATTTTTTTCCTATAAATTTTCGCAGAGAAATTACAAATCCAAATATTCAAATTTAAGAAATTAATTCTATCCACATTTAGTACGATAATTTCCTATGCTTTAATTTAATGGCACTGAAGCAATTAATTAATATAAACTTGGAAATATCTTCCTAACAACGAGCAAGTTATAATAGATCGGGAACGAATATAATTTCATATCGACAAGGTGTATCTGTATGATTTATCCTATGGTAATTGGAGCCCCATCCTTTCCCAACACTGATATTAAGAAAACATGCTGTATTTGCAGGATCTTTGTGTGATCGTATTGCATTTTGGTTTGAACTTATTGGAAGAACAAATTTGTGCACCCTATAACAATAACCGGGACTGAGCCTTCGAATGGTTCCAGATTTTTGTGAAGTTGACGAAGACGATACTGAGAAGAAAAGCGGTTTATTTCCACTGAAAAGTACCGAAAAACATTAACCATTTTCATAAATATTCAAATATTCTAAAATCTCAAATAATAATTAAGAAATGATGTGACATGAAAATATCTACTGATGGATTCTATCGATGAAAAAGTTATAAGTAATAAGTAACTTATAAGTAATAAGTTATAAGTAACAAATATGTTGCTATGTTTTAATTCTATATTTAGTTATATTTCTTAATTCATCAAAAGTATATATAAATATTTTCCTAGCCAACTTCATCCACCCTTATAAATCTATTTGTGTATCCAAAATCCATAGTCTCCCGCACATCTGTCGACAACGTTTACCGTCCAAGTGTGTTATCCAACCAATTAACCAGTCTATTAATTTTTGTTGCATTAACCTTTTATTTTTGATAAAAATATGGAAATGTGCTATTATGATTTTCATTCACAAAATGTGCGAAAATATATAAGATATTTTCCTATTAAATAAGATAATTTTAATTGTCACCTATTATACAGCCAAACTTCATCGAAAGTTTGCTGTGCATCAACTTGTCGTATAAGTGCGAAAGACGCTTCATTTGCAACATCCCATTCAGTACAATCATTCTGGCCATCATGAACAGAATTGGCCAGCAAACCGACGGCGATAAATTGTCCTCGAAGGCTTACACCATGATTATCCATGCGTTCCTTTTTTTGCCATCGATACATATGAGCCCAAACTGCAAATCAATTATTTTTATTTCAATTATTTTTCAAAGGCTTAAACAAAAAAAATTGATATTACAATCAGTCTGTCTTAAAAGATAGGTTGCAATTTTAAAAAAAGTCTATATTTATAAATATATTTTATAAATGAAAAAATATAAAAATAAATAGTACAAAAAATGAATCAAGAAATAAATGTTTACCTGAGCCGCGTGGATTGAAAGCAGGAGAGATATGTGATGAAGGAGATACAGCTGGCACTGTAGGTGAATCCGGTATAGGCGGAGGAGCGTGTGGTGGCAGTACGTTATTGGCAAAACTTGTAGCCGTTAATTCATCACCAAATCCCGTATCGTTTGTAATAACTACTTAAAATTAACAGTTCATTAACCAGTATTGTTAATACCAAAAACTTTAGTAATTTTATAAAATTAGTAATAAAATAGTAATAAAATTTGCAATAAAATTTGATCAAGATAAGGAACAACTAATCATGGTGTAATACATATTTCCAGTGGAACCTACAGGAATGTTCAGCAAGTGGAAATAATCCATTGATACCAGACAAACTCTGCTCCTCAGAGTTCATGACGGGATCTGCTGTAAGAAGAATAATTAGTCGTCGCTTTTTTCTAACTTTCTAGGATCATTTCTTCCGAAGATTCTATTCAAATCTTTTCTAACAGAAAAAATTAATATAAATGGTAGAAAAAATAAATTAATAAATAGAGCGTTTAAGCTTAACAGTTAAAAATCAAAAAATAAAAGTTAATCGCCAGCTTCAAAAGATTTCAAAATAACATACCAACAATCCACAATGCATAGTGATATGGATTACAACAAGAAACAGTAGCATTATTCATAGTTACACGGCCGAACCTGCACCAAGGAAGAGGATTAAGCCTATGTAGAGCGGCATCAACCTGAAATTATTTCCTCAAGAAATGCATATTATGACAAATCATCGTTATTATCTCCTAAAACATAAATAATGAATCTGATTTGTCTGGCTCCAGAGATTGTAAATCCACCTATAAATCCATAACACACCGTTCGATCATCTTCTGCTGACTGATGGTTGAAAAATGATTATCACTGGCCAGAATAATTTCCCATGACTATTTCTATGTTTATGATAAAATTATGGTACCTGAAGCTCCTTCCATCTCCATAATTTGCAGCATAAATAAGGCATTGACATAGGCTTGTCAATCTGTGGAATAAGGCCAGTATCCTCATATTTTTGTTCAGGAAGACCTTCATCATCATCTACTTCCATTTCATTATCTTTAGAACATCCAGGCAAATCTTCCACAATATCCATTGGCGGCCCAGGTGCACACTGTTTAATATCTCGTCCACCGCTTTGGACAGCCGAAAATCAACATTTTTTATTAATTTTAAGATCTTGATGCAAAAAAAGCGTTTTCATTTGAAGAATCATTAATTGCATACAAAAAATTATATAATTAATTCACCATTTCTAGTGAGGCTCGTACCACTTAGTAATCTCAGCCAGAGAGCCAAGAGAAGAACTACAGGAGTGTACTCAGCATTACCTGGATTCTTTAATACTCCTGACAATGGCAGAGAGCGAATCACGACCTGGGACGACAATCTAAGTAATACATCATTCGATCAAATTATGTTACCTAATCTCACTGAAAAGCCAATATTAAATTTTCAACGAAAGAGAAATTAAAAAACTAAAATATCAAAAATTTTTTCCATTTTAGCCATTTGTAAAATTATTATTATTTATTATTTAAATCCAAAATTTAAATTTATGGAAATTCTACTTTAAGAATTGCAGCCAAATCTTCAGTATCAAATGCGCGCATAAGGCGATTAAAACGCCGTCGTGCACGCTTCTCGTCCAATGACTGAATTGTTTGTAATCTCCACAAACTGTAATATATAGTATAGTAAAGTACCATTAAAGCAAATTAAATAAATCTAAATAAAGAAAAAAAAACTTTTCCCTATTATATATAATCAAGAATTACGATCAATTTTTTTAAGACCACCACGATATAGAATTTTTCTTTTTTTTTGGGTACAAATCAGAAATTTAAACAATTTTCGATAAGATTTTATGCGATAATATAGAAAAATTTATGACTTTGAAAAAAAAATGAAGAAGCGAACAAACCGTTCAACGTGTCGTCTTCGCTCTGATAGCAGACACCATATACCACAGTCTAATGGCATTCCGCAGCATCAGCGCTAACCCGCTAACGCATCCCGACGACAATATCGTCGGGTACTGTAAAACTGTAAAATTAATAAAATTAAGCTTTTTTAATTTTTAAATGAAATGAAATAAAATCTATCGTAAATTTTATTTGTACAGTCGAAGAGAAAAGAGAAAAAAAGAGCTTCGGTCAAATTACTTAAAAAATACATTCCCGAAAACACGTATATACAAAAGTAAGTGAGTGATAAGCGTTCACATTTGTGGTGATTTACTTCGTTGATTGCTAATAGGACAAGAAATTTCTGCCAGGGAGACACCACCTGGTAACAATTTTAAGTCACCAGCACCATCCGAATTTTTCATTAACAGGTTTATTCCTGAGGAAGAGTCGAATCTACGGTAATTTAAACCATTATCCTTTCTATCATACTCCTCTATATTATAATAAATATACATGCTAGAGAAGTGGTTCATTTAAAAAAAACAATTATTTCAACGAATCCACAAAATTTTTAACCGATTCCAACTTATTACTCTTTTTACAGATGGAATTTCCGGGTTTTTTCCTTTTTTTTGTTTATCTTTATGGAACAAAAATCGGAACAACCCGATTAAACTTCTAAAATTTGTTCTATGAAAAATGCACTAATTCGCAATGATTCTCAAGAGTACAGCATAATAATTTTAGCCAGCAGTATTAGCCAAATTAGCCAAACCAGTGCCAAAGGCTTAGGCTTAGGCTTACAGAATGTAAAAAAGAAAAAAATGCCTACTTTTCATAAATAAAATCACCTGTATGTTTGTCTCTTTGAAGAAATATTTTCGTAATTTTTTTTTTCTTTCCAAAAACAATTTTGTCCTTCTCTTCTGGTTAATTTTTTCGCCTTAACATAGCATTTTCATTTCTTAGATCCTTGCAACAGCATTCGCTAATTTAACGTTATTCTGGAGTTTTCCTTCATCGTTTTTCTGATAATTTTCGAATTCTTTAGTTTAACTTTCTCTAAAATTAAAATTTTTCTTGAATCTTTAATTGGCAACGACGCGATAAATTTTTTTATTTGCAAACATCGCAAAAATCAATTAAGAAAACAAAAGGAAAAAAATGATAATGATAAAAAAATGATAACAACCATTTAATCGCTAATGGATATGGGAATCTAATCATTTGCTGCTAAGAAATCCAATGGTACTTTGCCATTTGACAGTCCCAGATTATTAATCTATATCTGCTTATCTCATTTAAAAATTGCACTAAGCGTTCCCTCTTATTTTTCAAATAATATTGTAATAACATTTTCGAAATTCTACTTATATGCATAAATGTCGCTTCCCAGAAGCACTACTTTCCCAGAATCTCTCTAACTGCGCTTATCATTCCTGTTATTCACAGCATTCATTTCTAATATATAATTCCCCTAATTACTAAGAAGATAAGTCGTTTCGCCAAATAGAAAGAAATTTTTTTCCTTTTTCACCATTTGGGAAATAGAAATACCAATGAATCACCACAAATCACCACAACTAATCGTTCAATTAACCGAAACAAATTAAAAAAATAAATATTTCAATAATATCAAACAAAGCGAAATTATTAAATAAATAAATTTAAAATTCTCATAGAACATCGAAAATAATATTTATTTAAATGCGAATCGAACCGAATCGAATTAAAACATGCAAAAACATTAAAAAAAACGAATATTTATTCAGAATTTTATGTCTAAAATTAGAAAAATTAATAAAAAAATTCATTTGCAAGAAATTTATTTATTATTATTGCAGACAGTGAAAGGGAAAAAATTTCATAAAAAATTTCAACCTAAGGGAGAGAAAGGATAGCGGTAACGGATAGCAATTTAGATTACTAGGTCGATATGGAAGAGTTCGACTCCAGTTTCCAACAGAAATAAGTTTGTCGCTGAAAAACCCCGCACTGCGACTCACTTTTTGCAAAAATCCGGACTGCGACTCATTTTTCGATTTCTATTCTCAAATGATTCTCCTCTCTCTGGCTCTAGTAATGTGAATTTCCATCAAAAATAGGTGTTTCATTGGAAATTTTCACTTTTTTTTTATAAAATATTCAAAAGTTACTTTATAAATCAAATAAATTCGATAAAAAATAATAGTAAATTCGTGAAAAAATATTCATAAAAAAATCATTAAAAATTATAATAATAATATAATAATAATAATAATAGTAATAATAATAATAATAATAATAATAATGAAATAATAATAATTCTCAACATAAGTTTAGCTAATCAATCAATTAGCTAGAAGAAAGGTGTAAACTGTCAATCAGAATCGCTTGATGGTAAAAAAAGAAAAAAAAAACGAAATTCTCGCTAATTCTACTAATCGCTAAATTATATTAACTCAATCAAGTTTTATGGCTAAAAATGAACCTCGAAAATTTTCGAGCAATTGTCTTCAAATTTGAATAATCTCCAATAAAAAAAGCCAATTCCTACAGTCCTATCTATCATTCTACGTTTCGCTTAAATCTCCATTATTCCAACCACTCGTATAAGATTTTATAAAAATAATCGAAAACTAAAAATTTACGAATTTGTATTTATATTTGTCGACTAATTGAAATTGCCACATGTCGCCAGTAATATTACTTCTCATGCCTAAATTATTACTAAATAATCATAAAGGCAGCAGAAAGGGAGAAATAAAAACAAAGAGCATGCATCACATGCATCGTCTTTGGAAGCTCCTTGTCATAGGAGAATGACAATGACGGATTATCGCTGATACGAACGACGACGCATTATTATTATAAAAAATTATCGAAACAATTATAAAATTAATAAAAATTTAGTGGATGAATTTCAGTTATTATCAAATCAATTCTAAAATTAGCAAAAACACTCATTGTTTGGTTTGCATAAAATAAAGCTAACGATTTTTTTCCTTTTTTAAATCGCGTGATCTCCAAAAAACTTATCAGGAAATGAAATGGGTTTTGGGAAAAATGAAATCTTTCGCCTTCCTATATTCTTTCTAATAGCGATTCATCGTTATATTAGCTCCACTGGTTATTACGATGAAAAGAGGATAAAAAAAAAGGAGGCTAGCCTAGCACCATAAGGAAAGAAATTACTTTTAATGAAGAGTCCATTCCAGTCAAATGAATCCGATTTGAAATTTTGATTTGTCAATTTGTGATATAGCATTTGATCATTTTGCGCATATTTATCAATATATGAGATATTGCACGTAAAAATTCTTTTCAGCTTAGACTACTTCATTTAGGCCATATAGGAAAGTTGAACTGGCTGGCTGTTAGTAAATCCTGGCATTAGTGATAGCTGAGTCGCCGGGACTTTTTAATGACAAGTCCAGCTCGATGCACTAGCCGAACTGCTGACTCTCAATACGATAATTAGAGTTACTCGGCTTTTTAAAAGCGATAAACGAATAAATATTCATAAAAATAAAATTCTTATAATCTAAACCAAATATTTTGATAGGAAAAAATAAGAATTTCCTGGAAATTTAAGCTGCAAAAGCTGCAATTACGAAGAAAAAAATTTAATAGAAAATTACTTTTTAGATTCAAATCAAATTTCCAAATTATATAAAATTATTTTTTGTTAAATTATAAATTATAAAGGCTAATTTTACGCTTTTATTTATGTAAAAATACATATAAAAAAAATTTTGCTTTTTAATTTTTATTCTTTGATAATTTAAAAATTTCAAAAAAATAAAACAATAAAAATTATAAACGCTTAACAAACGAATTAATGGAATGCCGCTCGAATAAAATTTTGTTTACTTAAACCTTTTATTCTGAAAAATTTCAAAATTTTTTTCAACATAAATTTTTCAACATAATTTTGTCGATTTATAACGAATAAAATTTCAAATCAAACAATCCAAATGATTTATATTATTCAATATTTATATAAAACAAGAAGCAAAAAACAAATTTTATAATTAATTGGTATAAATTAATTAATTTTATAATTATCAGTAATCAATATTAAATAATCATCATAAATGAGGCAAAAGATAATCGCTACGAGTTTAATCGCTGCGATAATAGAAATAGTTGACTGAGCATAACCGAGGGGTTTTTGCAAACTAAGCACGACGGGGTTCGAGGTGGTGTTTGTTTGCAAACTAAGTATGACGGATTTAAGATGGTTTTAAAAGGGAGACAACAAATATTATGCGAACAAAAATAAAATAATCCTTGTCATAAAAACATTTTTGAAAATAAATTTGAATAATTTATCAAAAGAATCGAAAATCTCTCTCTAAGGAAAAAAGAAATAAATATAAATAAGATCATATTTTAAATTTCTTGGACTTTAAACATCCGAAATTTTTTCTTCCCTCATTACCAATGGAATCCATCTGTATTGCATGAAAACAAGTGTTTTCATGGAATTATAAGATTTCATGAAATTTTTATAATTAACCCAGGTGTTATTAAAGAACATATTTGTATCCCCAGGCGAATCTCTGGTACAATTCCTTTTATTATTTTATTAATAGCCATCAACCGAGTTAGCCCAAATAAAATAAAAAATATTTGAAATAAAGAAGTGCGCGAAAATATTACATTAAAAACGTGAAAAATTAAGAAATGTGCGAGTAAACCATAGAAAAGCACTTCACGTCAGACTGCCACGTCGTATATCATAGGATTAGGTTCGATCTGCCTTAACCCTGACAAGAGTAAAAGTACCACTAAAAAGATGCTGGCGACTTACCCGTGCTTCTAATCGCCAGCGAATTTTTGGCAAAAACTTCCAATTGAACGAGCAGCCAATTTAATCCGAAGTAATGAACCACTGACTCATTTAAAGATTTAAAGAATAATGTAAATTTAAAAATAAGAAAAATATGATTTAAAAATCTTCTTAAAAAATAAAATTTGATTTTAAAATCGAAAAAATCCAAATGGTGCGCTTCTGGTCTATTTTAATTCTTCTTTCGCTGTGGTGAAGCGAACTCATTTCTACTTAGTAGATTCCGTCAAATCAGAAAT